TATCTTATTGATCGGAGAAGGTGGTACAAACATGAACAGTTCACACAAAAGTGTAACAGCACCAAAACAAACATTATAGGAAAACCTGTCCAAATTCGAAAACCCATTAACGGATCAAATCACTTTGAAGTATATCTTTCCAGCTCACCATAAGATCCCTGAAAAAATAGTGTTTCCTCTCTGTCCACATCCCACACCAATACCAAATGGTGCATTTAATCTCCTTATCTAATTTTGAAACTGAAAACTCTCCTGAAGGCTTTATCATTTCTATTTTTCCAGATAACCCATATCACCGCAACCGGTAACAAATTCCATATCCATCTAGTGATCTCAGGTCCTTGCCTCTCCGGCCAAGCAACCAGCCATTCTTGAATAGAATCCATTCCAAAAAGATTAGAAAAAATAAAAGAGGATTGAATTAAACTCGCCCACAGCTGCAGAGCTTTAGAACAGTGCAGAAAAAGATGAGTTGTGGATTCATTCGCCATTCCACACATAAAACAAACAGGTGGTAGGGCAATTCCCATGTTGATGAGTCTATCTAGAGTGAGTGTTCTTCCCAACATCAACGTCCACAGAAAAAAAATTTATATTAAGAGGGATTGATTTACACCAAACAACTTTGTATGGGAAGGCATTTGGGTGTGAAGATGCACCTGTTTTCTAACTCCCTTAACTTAACATACATTGTCTTGACTAAGAACTGACATGTTCGTGACCACTTCCAAACCCATAAATCATCTCCTTCTTCTGCGACAACCTGGTCCAGGAGTGCATCGAGGTCACTCATTTGTTGTTCCTCCCAATCATATATGTTACTTCTTAACATAACATTCCAAGAAATAGAGTCTGCATCTGACATTCTCACATCACAAATTCTGACTTCCTTATCGACTACTAGTCTGAAAATTAATGGGAATTGAGTTTCCAGAGCTAAGTCACCTGCCCAATTGTCTCTCCAAAATTTGATATGTTGACCATCCCCTAGACGATAGCTAACTCCTTGCTTGAACGGTGCGATAAGTTTCATAATTTCGCGCCAAAAAGAGCAGCCAAAAGGTTGACTAACTCTACTCGGCCACCATCTACAATCCCCTTGACCATATTTTGCTGTAATAACTTCCTTCCATAGTGAATCATTTTCAGTTCCATACCGCCACAGCCACTTTGCAAGTAGTGCACCATTCATAGTTCTGAGATTCCTT